GCGCCCAGCTGCACGACAACCTCCTGTCGGCCGAGAGGGCCGTGACGGGCTACACCGACCCCTACACCGGCGACCAGATCTCCCTCTTCCAGGCCATGAAGAAGGAGCTCATCGTCAAGGAGCACGGCATCCGCCTCCTCGAGGCCCAGATCGCCACCGGCGGCATCATCGACCCCGTGCACAGCCACCGCCTCCCCGTGGAGGTGGCCTACCGCCGCGGCTACTTTGACCAGGAGATGAGCCAGATCCTCTCGGACCCCACCGACGACACCAAGGGCTTCTTCGACCCCAACACCCACGAGAACCTCACCTACATGCAGCTCCTCCGCCGCTGCGTGCCCGATTCAGATACTGGTCTTTATTTCCTTACTGTTTTTAGAACATAATTGCAAATCCTTTTGCATTTTTTTCTTATTGCATTTGTGAAGAATTTAGCGGTTGTGAATATTTCTTTTCCTGCTGGTATTTTTCTCATGCAGCTCCTCCGCCGCTGCGTGCCCGATTCAGATACTGGTCTTTATTTCCTTACTGTTTTTAGAACATAATTGCAAATCCTTTTGCATTTTTTTCTTATTGCATTTGTGAAGAATTTAGCGGTTGTGAATATTTCTTTTCCTGCTGGTATTTTTCTTTCCTTTTTTAATCGTATTGTTTAAAATTCTAATTCTCTTCAGAGAATTTCCTCAATGTTCTCTTTCCTTTTCAGTAACTTACCCACACCAAGTATAGCTTTTAAGTGACTCCCCTGAGTATTGTGGTATATCGTATTAAGCCTTTATCTTCTGTAGTTTTTCAGGAACACAGGCTGGTTATCTCAGGGTATTTTGGTGAAATATGTTTTCCTCATTTTCCTCATCCAGGTTTAGATGGAATTGTGTCTTTTTTGGTGTATAAGGTGTAGTGAAAATGGTATTTTTATTCTCCTTCTATTCTGTTCTCTTATGCATGAAGAATGTTTTTTTCTTAGCAGATTTGCTGGGCATTATTAGAGTTGCAGGTTTTCAAACCTGAATTTTGCATGGAGAGCATATTTCCGTGTAGTCACTATGTCAGGGTTGTGTTAGGGGTTACTGGAGTGGGATATATTATCTGTGTTTTTATTCCTAATGCCTCAGCCTGTCTAGTTTTTCCGGGGGTGGCTGGACTATATACACCCTCAGCTTAGAGTGGTTTGGTCTCTCAGCATATGTACACTCAATTCATTCACATGCTATGCTTTCCATCCCTCCAATTCTCAGGTCTCCATGGACCCTCTATAGAGAGCTGTGCTGTGGGATCTACGCAAGAGCTGAGAGCCCATAGTGTACGTGGTCGTGCTGTATTTCTAGTCTATCTGTCCACAGTCAGGGGAGCCGGCATGGAGCATTCATCCCCTCTAGCTGGGTCCTCTGCACATTTCTCAGCTCCTTTTGCTGTCCTGTGTCCTGAGCTGACTCAGCCCACATGCCATGGTCCTGGAGAGGAGGCAGCCCCAGAACCACTCTGCCGTAGAGTTCAGGGCTGAGTAATTCCACTACTGTTTAATAGAAGGAAACTTACTCTCCTTAAATGCATTACCTTAGGCTATTTTCCTTAATTAACCCAGTAATGTCCTGGAAAACGGATTTTTTGCCACAGCTTGTATAGCTGATAGCTGGAAACAAGTGTATATTAGCTGTGGAACTCCTTACCATAACCTGCTGTGTAGCTCGGAGATTTGCACGGACTCAGAAAGTGATGGGACAAATTAATGGGAGAGAAGTCCACTGAGGGTTGTTAAATGCAAAGACACACTTCTGTCTCAGGAGGTCCCTCAGCCACAGGTTACTAGAAGATGGAAGGCAGGATCAGGGAGGTGTTGGTACGGCCTTGCACTGCTATTACATACTTAGTGTAGACTCCGATACTGGACAGAGCTGGCTGCAGCATAGTGGAGACATGGACCTTTGCTCTGGGCTGGTATAACTGCGACTGTCCTACCACTATCTGCATCATGAACATGAGGAAGCACCAGAAATGCCACAATTTACCCAAAGTGCCAGAGTGTAACGGGGAAGTTTTACAGCGCTCAGGCCTCACCACACTCTGTACTGGGGTTAATTCAGCTTCTTCCCACACTGACCTGCAGACACTGTAATGCCATCTCCAGAGGGCCTCGATGATTCGGGCTCCCATGGCAACTAAGAGCCTTCATATTAATCTTCTAGATTTCTGCTCTTTCCTGGAAATGGATTAGAAAATGCTTTAGCCAAATCCAGGGTGAATGGCCAAGCTGTGTCTTTCACACACTTTAGCCTTGTGCCATCTCCAGATCTCAGAGCCCTGCATGCTACTACAGTGTAAGAGGGCTCGCTACAGGCTGCTGCACAAGACGAAGCACCCGGCTGGATGGGCTCTTGTCCTGCTCCATCTCAGCCATTCCTATATTCCTGCCTACACCCCTTGCTCTTGGACTGTCTCCTCTTAGTCTCTAGTTCCACATCTTTCAACCTCCGCCACACTTTTCACCTGATCTCCAAGTGTCCCATTTCCCAGCCTTCTCGTTCATTAGCTCGTGCCTTGCTAGCAAAGCCATGGAGACCCAGCGATCCCTGTGGAGCAGGATGGACGCTTGCAACCCTCCAGCTGTGCTTTAGCCCTTCCCTTTTCCAGGGTCTCTTTTCTGGTGACAAGCTCCTCCTGTTAGCTGTCCCATGTTTGTACTAAACCTAACCACCATAAGGCCATTTCTTGATAGGATCTTCGGTCTTACACACCTAGTCAAAAGCCATTTAACTAAACCTAACTGAAAGCTAGTGGCTTATTTTTTTATATATCCGCTAGGATATATAAGAGAAAAGGAACCGAGAGGAAACCTCATAGTATTCTGAAGTTACCAGTCTCCTAGCCCTGGGCCAGAGCATCATCTGCCAACGGTCAGCTCCTCAAAGCTTGGCTGTTATCACCTTGTGGCACTGAAGACATAGAAAAAGCCAGTCTCACATTGAGATCAGGAATGGGAGGAGGACTGCACAGGATGAAAAGCATGCAGTAACAAAAGGAAGACAGGGTAGGGTCTTGCAGCACGGGCCCAGCACCAAAGCTTGGCTGCCTTCCCCACTGTGCTACTCTGGACCTCCCAGGACTGTGCAGGGAGCAGCTCACAGCTCTCCTCAGCAGGTTACCGGCAAGCGGCACTGAAGAGTCATCCTGCGGCTGGAGCAGCCTTCCCGGGTGGCATGTTAGTCTGGTCCTGGGGTGGAGGCTACAGGGCAGGTGCAGAAGCAGCCTGGTTAAAGACAGTCAGTTCTTCCTCAGGTAGGGGAACAGAGGCCTCCATGGCCATATGGACCATCACGGCTCACTTCAGGAGCCGTGTTGGACAGCCACACACTTGAACAGCCAGGAGCTAGCAGTATCTCTGTAAGAAATTCCTGTCCCAGATCAGGCAGTGACGTCCAACAGGACCATAGTGGTGGTGACAGTCCTCCCTGATGAGGGACCCAGAGAGTGAGCTGAGGCAAAACAAACTTTGGGGCTTGTGATCTGGAGTCACATCATGACTCACCTGCAGGGTGTGCGGTGGCCAGATCCCAGGAGGTTTCTGGAAAGGCTTGTAATATGTGCTGGGGAGGAGACGGTGACTGTGGGTGCCACACAGAGGAAGACGGAGGAAAGAGATTCTGGCATTAAAATGTAGGCTTCAGGCAGGAAGATGAAAGCCAGGCCCTCCATGACAGCATTCCCTGGTCTGGGTACCACGTGGAGGTCAGATAGTAAAGCAGAGACATGAATTCATAAAACGGGGCTGAGAAGCTGTAAAGATGTTGTCATAAAAGTTTTGCGTCTCCAAGCAAAGGAGAGGCCAAACTCTCACCATTCAAATATGGTGAAAACCAGCATGGAGAAAAGGAAAAGGGAAGAGCAGTTTAAAGAAGCAGAATCCTGTTTAAAAACAATACAGAAAAAAGTAGAGAACCAAGATAAATATAATATATAGGGCTGAGGAACTGGAATACATCATCTTCAGTGAAACACTAGCATGCCATGGGCTTCTTGGGAGGAGGCTCACCAGGAGGACACTGTGATGTCAAAGTATAAAACGCACAGGAACAGTAGAGGAGGGTGTGCTGGTGGTAGCATGGGACTGTTATCAGAGAGCTTACAGTCGGGTCAAAGTCACAAATACACCAACAGAGAACTCTGGACCGAAATCCCAGCTCTGGGGAGCAGGACAGGGGGAAGGCAAGCAGACAGACGTAAGGGGCAGCGTCTGTCTGTGCGGAGTCTGAGCTACATAGATAGTGTCCTCTGCAGTCAGGAGGAAGGGCAGATACTGAGCGGGGACGTAGAAGGGACATAAAACCATAAATGACATGAAGAAGGCAAGTGGGAGATGAGTATTTGCTATTTCTCATAAGAACTAGGTTGTGGGGAAACAGCAGGAAAGATTTCTGCACACAGTTAAACTGTGGCGGTTGCTGCTGGGATGTCATGGAGGCAAAAGCTGCAAATGCTCAAAGGAAAGAAAAGGCAAGAAAAAGTGAGCCCTCTTCTCAGTGAGGGAGTCACCAGTGGGGCCCAGAGGAACCCATGCTGAGAGTTGGGCCGTTTAACACATGCAGACATGGTCTGGGAAATGCTGTGAACAGTGAAGGAGCAGATGGTATTAAATTATTCAGCTTAGTAAAGAAAAGTGCCAGCTGCAAAAACTGCAGGAAGACCAAGCAACATACAGTGACTGGAACAAAAATGGCAGATTATGTTCAAGGTAGGTAAAAAGGCACACATGAGGAGAAGCAGTCCTGGTGTCCACATACCCAGCTCTGAGCTGTTACTGTTCAGCAGCAAGAATTGTAACAGATTATTTGATGTGTGCTCAGCATCAGTCAGAATAAATCAAATGTTAAGATTAGGGAGGGAACATGTCCATGCCAGGATAACGCACACAAGCTGTGTCCATAATACCCTGAGAGGAGATGGGGCTCCTTGGCAGGGCTGCAACCAGGATCTCAGCAGTGGCCCAGCCTTGGTGGCCAGTGGGGCTTCAGTGGTGTAAGGCAGTGTGGAAGGACAGCACCTGCTCCTTTGAGGGTATCTGGTCAAAGGAGCCATCAACAAGAACATATAGGGACAAACCTGATCAACAAATGATACGGGAGGTGGTGATGGGAACAAACCTAGCCAGTCACACCGATCGGTCAGGATGTGTGGAGTGAGAGGATGTTTATTTTTTCTCTTGAGATGATAAGGAAATGGAGGGAGGCAAACACAGAGACATAAAACCTGACCAATTAGTGTTAACGAAGACAATAACCAGCAGCCAACCTGGTCAGTGGCACTAATTGATGGGCTATCAAGAAACTGCAAGAACACCAGGACTTTGCAGCTAGTATGGATATAACCCTGAGGGTCTCAGCATCAGCAG